CAATTATTTTTTGTGAAATTACTCCACTAGTTTGTTTTAATTATTAATACAAAGATTGCCGGCCGGATTGAAGGATTTTTCCTAACTGTTCGTCTTTGTGTTAATAATTATACCGTATAATATTCACGACGACAAAAATAATACTTTCAACATGCTTCCACAAAAAAATTAATCATGAAAGCACCGAATGCGACCCGTTGGTCGGGTCGGAGCGAGCGGAATATCTTATTACTTTCAGTTTTGTGTTTATTATTGGCAGTATGATATGCAGCGGTGTACAGAAAAATCTTGAATAGGTTTGTGTGACACCGTTATAAATATTTTAACTGCATCCGTGACCGAACGGTTACCATTTATACGCAAGCCACCTCACTACCCTGAAGCCAACATGGGTCACACGACCCGGTTTGACATGCAATTGCATTCCCCCGTGTACCGAAACCGAAATCACACGTCAAAGACCATGAGTACTATGTCAATAGTATAAATTGTAGAAGTAGCAGTAGAGCTCCTTGTGAAAAAGTTCTTCCAGGGAAGTACTGCCACCTTACTTATTTCTGTCGCCAAGTAGTAATGTCAGTTTAGTCCTATCACTGGGTACGGACTCTCTCTCAGGCGAGGGTTTTAGGCCATAGTCCGCCAAGCTGGCCCAATGCGGGTTGGGTATTTCACAAGTATCGCGACTGTTGCGAACCTTCAACGACGCGCTCATGGTAAAATTGAAATTATTTTCAGACATGAATTCAGAAAAATTCGTGAGGTACGTTCCCGGATTCGAACCCACGGTCTCTGCTTAAGAGGCAATAGGTCAAACCATTAGACTAACACTTCTTCCTATACATAAAGAGTACATTATTAGTACTATATTATATTTGGAGTATATCATTAGCCAATTTAGTGGATTTACTAAAAAATATACCCTGTACTATGAATACGAGAGCAGCGGAATTCACTCTGGGACACCTAGACCAGAACCAATTTAGAAAAGTTTAATTCCCGTTGGGTTTACTGGGACTCAAACCCGACACCTCCTCATTTATCTCGTCATTAACTGCCTCCGTGGCCGAATGGTTACCATGGCGGACTGCCACGCAGAGGCCCCAGGTTCGATTCCCGGGCCGGGAGAAATATTAGTATGGCCTACATTTATTTCTCTCGTGAGTTTGGGTGTAATTTGTGGTTGTCTATGTGTATGTCCATGGTACCCGCGACACAGGGTTTCCCTAGTGCGGGGACTATGTTGAGTGTGTGCGTTATTATTAGTGTTATTATTGCTTATTTTAAGCTAAAAAAGTATACTGTTCTTTATTTTTACAATTAGAACAACTGAAAACATTGCCTCAACAATTTTTAATTTCTCAACGGTACTCCGATTATTCTCGCTTTCAAGCGTTAGACGATTTGTAATTATTTTTTACTGCATTCTACCATGGGAGTTCATTGCACAGTCAACTGCACATATTTCCACCTTACATTCTACGTATTACGTTTAACTTGTGTTACAATACATCTGCTGTACATTGTACACTAATTACAATATTAACATGTGAAGGTTTCGCATCAGTGAACTTGACATAAAAACTGAAGTGTAGACTTAACAATTTTAATTTGTTACCTCTGTCAATTTCTTATCAAACTCCTAAGTTTTTGTTCTAATTGTAAAAAATATTGTTTTACGCATTGACTTACAATTATATGGACGTCGGGTCCGCGCTAAAAAGTGTCCGAAATTATAGGGCGTTAAAATCGTATACAGAGCGTCATTCACGCTTTTTGTTCGACTGACAGCGAAGCAAGCAAAATTAGACAGTACTGCGATGACATTACAATTTAAATTCAACGTTTTAGCTTTTTCATATTCCTTTACTACGTTTAAATATGTTGACTTGGGACATTTTTTTCGTGGTTTTTGTATTAGACCCGTCGTCCATTTATTTCTAAGTCAATGGTTTTACGTTAAGAATTGCTTTATATATCTATTACGATAATAAGAAGATATGTCATAGAAATATTGTTGGAAAGTAATCATATTATTACTTTTTCTTTTTTATAATAAATATTATACAACATCACATACATATTTCTGACCCCGGTCTGATGATAAGCAATAACGCACACAAAATCAACATAGCCACGCACTAGGGGAAACCATGTGTCGCGGGTGCCATGGACACACATAGACACACAAACAAATTACACTCAAACTCACGAGAGAAATAAATGTAGGCCATACAAATATTTCTCCCGGCCCGGAAATCGAACCTGGGAACTCTGCGTGGCATTCAGGCATGGTGGTTACCATGCCTGAATGCCACGCAGAGTTCGGCCACTGAGGCAGTTATAAGTGAAGATGTGAACCCAAGACAATATAAAAAAACATATTTTTTTAATGAGCTCTCTCGTGATAATACATTCCTTACCCACATCCTTGTAATAAAGTTATGAAAACAACTTATACTTAACTTGGTAAGTCGATCTTACCAGTATAATAATAATAAAGCCTCATTCAAACCCTTATAAATTTAAAATAATACATACATTCGCTAATTGGGCATAAAATAACGAAAATAACAATAATGAAATATAAATTGAATTAATTAAATTTTAGGATTAATAATTACAAATTATTATTAATTAGGGACCTTTCTTCGAGTAACAGCCTCCATTTTACTCCAAATATTTCTGTTTTTCGTCTTGCTCATCCAGTCTTTGCCTTTTGGTCTACCTCTGGTCCTCGTACGTCGTATTTTGTGGTCCTGTACACATGGTTATTCTTTGCCCATTTGTCACTTTCCATGCGGGTGATGTGGTCAGCCCATTTCCATTTTAATTTTTTAAAGTATTTCAACGCGTCGATGACATTTGTGGTTTCTCTTATATCTGTATATGTTACTCTATCTTTTCTTTCAATCTCTCTCACATTTCGAAACAATTGCAATCAAAACCAACCTCTGGTTTTCCATATACGTATTGCACAGTCTCGAGGAAATTATCATGAATGATGCGTAATAATTTTGTTTTCCAATTGTTCTATAAAAAGGTTGACAATCGCTGTAACCCCAACATAGTGCAGTATGTAGTGTTAGACAATGAAAACTTTTTTCTCATTCTATGAATTTTTCCTACGCACTATATGCTAATTCGAAAATGATTGCAATTCAAATTCAGCTTTACGATTTTTTTATTTCTCCAATGTTCTATTGCAATTAGAAACGCTTGTGAGTCGTTATAGTAATTGCCTGCCGGTATTTTTTTATTTTACTCCTTTTATGGTGGGTTATAAATGATCGGTCAGATCATCACACAGGTAGCTTTCGTTTCGAATGTCTCAAAAGCTCTAATACATCGGAAAGAAGGCTCAATGCCGTCACGTGATTGTGTGTTATTTGGAATAAAATTTTATTTTTGGTCAAAACCCAAAGAACGACATTTTTTCACTCGTATGTTGTCAAAAGCCAAAGTCCAAGCGATGGGCAACGTTGTCTTTATAAAATTATAATATAAAAAATACAGTAAATTTAGATATAATTTAAATAAAATAAAATAAAATAAAATAACGCACTGATAGCCCCGCATTAGGGAAACCCTCTGTCGCATAATAAATCTGTCTCTTTGGTTATCATTAAGAGAAACAGGGCACTAATTTTTGATTTGGAGTTGTTATATTTTTTATTTTATTTAGTTATATTTTTAGCACATAATTTTTTTTGTTATACAAGTATACATACCGTCGAATTTTATAACCTAGACTAGACTAGAAAATAAATCTAGCATTTTTCTCATCTTATTGATGAAACAAGGCGACACACGTCCTAATTTAATTTAAAAAAACCACACAGCCATAACAGCGTGCACAATATAATTAACAAATGCAATTATTTATAGTTACGGTCATTATTTGCAACAAATGAAGACGAATTACAGTCATTGCCCTCTCTATCGACGCCATTATTCACTCCAACAATCGTTTCAAAATAAAAAATTGCATTAAATATCGACTAATAATTCGAGTATTGACATTTGGACGCACTATCTCTGCACACGAACGTGATTAATCACATACACATACGTAATACAAGTGTTTGTGAACGCAGTACTACCAACTTTAAAAGAAGTTTTATCGCGCAGCCCGGTAATAAATATCGACATTAATTATTTGATATTATTTCGAAACGAAAACATCGCAGTATATTACTTTTATATGAGTTCGATGACATTTTTGATAGAAAGTAGTTTTATGGTTTTGGTTACTTGCAAGTTTAACCAATTTGAAATTTTACTGTTTATTATACGCGCCGTTATCGGCTTTACGATAATGCGCATTTTATAATAATAAACTACTTTACCCTGTGCAGCACACTATGAAACTTTTAATAGATATGTAATTTGAAATATTTAATGTGATCATCAAAAAACTGAAAGTTTCACCTTAAAATGTTGTGAGGTGGCTTATAAAACTGTAGCCAAATATGGCATTCTTTTCACCAATGATTTTCCAAGCAACAAATTACTTATTGAAATCTTTATTTATAATGAATATTTTGTGACTAGCCACGTACATGTTTCTGGTTTCTTTAATTGGTGCGATACATTGATAAATAACTTTGAAAATAAAACCTAACCGCTATACTGCCTGATAACCAAATTACGAACGGCTGGGAAAAGGGAAATTTCGAGTTTCTAGATCTAACAGAAGTTTCTTCGATTTTTGATGATCAATGAAGAAATGAAAGAGTGTACAGTAAACTATAGAAAAGTACTATCCGTGACAGAAATTTGAAGTTTTTAGTCCAATTAAAGAGATTGAACGTACCTGGAGTTGCTTCCAAGAAAACATGTAGGTACGTTCGGGTTTCCTAGATTGGGCACGGCGATTCTATTTTGTTAACATGATATTCAATAAGCTAGCCGTAAAAGGGTTTAAGTCTTTGAACATGTTGAAAATTAAAAATAAAGTATTAATCATTTAACTGGCTAATGTATTTTTCCCTTAATTCCAGGTCTAGAACGGGTGGCGGAGGAGTTGATGGGTCGAAGAAAATGGAAAATATACCAGGACGGGTTAATACCAAAACGGAACGACGAGATATCCAGCGACGACGAGTCCATGCCTGCCACCGACCCCCAGCCCGCGCTCAAGATAAAGACTATAGAGGAAATCAATGCGCCCGACGAGGCGGCGAAAGCGCCCGAAGGCAATACGGAGAAAACCGAACGCCGAGAGACGATTCTAGAAAGTTTGATCAAGAGGCCTGCGACGCAGCCGAAGTTGGAGATGGTGGAAGAACCCACGGACTGGAAACCGCCAGACAAATGCTACTTCTGCGTAGACGGGGAACGCGCTGAACCGACGGGGGAAAGGCAGGCGGCCGGCGCGCATGTGAGTATTGTACAATTATTACAATTTCTATCTAATTAACTAAGAACAGCTTCTGACTCAAAAAAACAAAACAAGATTTCTGTTGTTCTGTCCCCAAACTTGTAGTCTTTTAGAGTCCTGTACCGAATTAAGAAATAGAAGAAAAATTAAAATTAGTAACAATACACGGATCGCCTAGCTGTACAAAATTATAGCTATCGCAAAAGTAAATAAAATAGCTTTTGTATCAGAATCTAAGTTCCATTTCAAGCAACCTTATCAAAATCCTGCATTTCAGATTTTAGACTGGGTAAATGTGTGGAAATTGATTTCGCTTTGTGCTACTTCAAACCATTTACTGGATTTGCATATTAAAATTGAAATAACGCTATGGACGTTCCCTTAACAAAACATTATCTAGAACAAGTGGCAGGAACAAGGAGGTTATAAAAAAAATCTGTAGCATATTTCATTTAATACGGAAATCACGGAACATAAAGTATTTAAAGATAAACTATTTGCCTTACTGTACCGTGTTCTATTCATTTATTGTACACAAAAAGTACACTTTAAATGGAATATTTATTAACAATTAAATCCACAGCTCCAAAGGGTTTTATGACTAGTATATGAAATTGGATAGAAAATAACTTTTAAAAAACAAAAAAATATTAGATACTAGGTAGTGCTCGCTACTTCGTCTACATATTTTGAGCACTTTGAGTAGGCTACTGTGTTACTTACTTGAGAAATGATTGGTTCTCCATATAAACTTTCGTCCCCTATTTCACCAGAGAAATACCGCCACCTTACCTATTTCTGCCACAAAGCAGTAATGTCAGCATTACTGTATACCGGTTTTGAAGGGTAAAGGGTGCCAGTGAAATTACAGGTGACGGGCGCAGTGGCAATACCCTTCAGATATTGACGTCACTAAAAACTAACCATCTTTCTCATTTACATTCCATCTCTCTGTACCGAAATTCATCAAATTTGCTTCAGCGTTTCGGGAGTGAAAACCTAACAAATAGAATTACTTTCGAATTTATAATATTAGTTTGGACAGTAAAATCTTAAATTAGATTACACTTTGACGAAAGTGACAAACATAATTAGTTAACTGTTTCACAGGTCATCATATTTTTAAAACAGGACAGACCGGTCAGATTGAGACATCTGAATGAACTCTGAATGAAGTTATATGTATTTAACCGCGTAAATAAAAACTTTAGACGAGCATTATTAAAAAAAACAGTTGATCCACAGTTGATCTCACATCAATTAAAAAATACAAGCTTTTCAAATAGGTATAGGTATGACTAAGCTAGTGAAGACTGTAGAGTACAAAGCCCTCGTTCATAGATTCTGCCACAGCCCGTAATGATTAAGAACGCATTCAAAATTAACAAGCAAAACCAATAATTAAATTACGAATTACAATCTAAATAATATTCAAAAACACCACATTACATAAGCCATCAATTTTTATGGCAGCAGAGTTCCTTGTGAAAGAGTTCGTCCAGGGTAATACTGCCACCTTACCTATTTCCTCCTAGGTAAGGGTGCTGGTGAAATTACAGACACAATGGGACTTGTCAACTTGTCTCAAGTGGACAGGCGCAGTGGAAGTACCCCTAATATCTTTGCGATTTAAAGCTCTGAGTGGCACTGCAACTGTTATGGACAGACGTGTAGCTTACCATCAGGCACACGACTTGTTCGTCCCATTACTGGATATCATAAAAAATATTTATATAATACGAACAGTTCATAGGCAATACAATTTCGAACAATAACATCGAAATAAGCACAGAAACAGTTCACAGTCATTCTGAAACACCCAATTATTTTAACAAGAGCAGCAAAATTGCGGGTCTTCACGATTTTTTGTCTCCGCACAATAATTCCGATTTGATTGCCGTGCATGTGTGGGAACATGTAACAATAGTAGATGAATACGGTTCGATGTACGTTCCCATTGCGGATTGTATACCAAAACTGTTTCATTTGAAGTGAAATCGAGTCATTACGGCTGCAGATTTGTCATGGACATTTTCCCGCTGCTTTCCCATGGGCGGTAAAATTATAAAGAAGATTCCTACATTTTGTACTTTCTAAATAAATTAAACCTGTACGTATACGCCTTCACACGCATAATGTATTTTCTCAAATAAACCTAGTAAACACAGGAGAGGTATTGGCAGGTTCCGTGCGGTAGTTACTAACAAAATCTAGCCACAGAGCTTCTTGTGAAAGAGTTCGTCCAGAGAAGTACTGCCACCTTAACCATTTCTGCCGCCAAATAGTACCTAATGTGAGCATTACTGCGTACCGGCGCAGTGGCAGTGCCCCTCAGATCTTTGTGATTTAAGGCTCTGAATAGCACTGCTACTGTTATGGACAAGCGTGTAGCTCACCACCAGGCACACGACTTGTTCATCCCGTCACTTGAGTACCAAAAGAAACATTAACATATATTGCGCACTGCTGGGCACAGAGCCTCCAATAAACAGGCATCAACCCTTAATCCAACACGCTATGCAGCAATTCGATTTATCGCAGTTCTGCAATTTAATACTAGTGTTACCTATATTAGTCATTCAAATACATAATACATGTTAGATCTAGTATTTTTCCATACAATGTCTAAGTGGTAATCCTTGGAACCTTGTAAACGCATAAGTATGCCAACTAAATGCCTTCGGTGATTTCAAATCAAACCTTGAACTTCACGTATGATTGTATTATTGAGTCATAATACTAAATTGTCTTCAACATTTTGTGTTTCTAATGATTATTAACTTCACCTCATATATTCAATTTTTATTTAATGTCATGATTTATTTTTACTATTTATAAATTTTTTGTGAAAAGTGGACTATTTTCAACACAAACTATTATAATTATTGTTGATACAAAAAGTTCGAATCAATAATAATTCACCTTTATTGCTTTTACAAGTATACAGGCTGTAACAAAAAATGCTATTAAAATTTTTTTTAAAAGTAATGGGCGAAATCTAAACAATTTATGTTAAACATTTTGGCATTCAACTTTTTATATTTCTCAGCAAAATAAAAAGTCAATGTCAGGAGAAACCTATTAGCCTGACAACCGAACAAGTTAAAATACATACCGGTGACATTTACCTTTCCAGGTCTGTATTGCCAGTTAATCCACTGTTTCCTATTAATAGCTTTTCAAAGCTTGGACAGATAATTTCGATAAACTGTGATTTAATGGCAATACCGCCAAAATATATTTGGCAAATAAATACAATAAACACCAGTTCCAATGGTTAATACTGCCGAAAATTTAACAAACAATGAATAGGAATAGTGCCTTAAAAGACAACACTGAACCGGGAAGACAAGAATATGAGACCCTGTCTATCTTTGGCCTTACACAGTTAGCCCGAAGGCAAGTCGATGCTACGTGTATATCTCTCATGATTTTGCAATACAGAGAGAGTGGCGGGTGCTGGTCGGTGGAGTAGCGTTGATTTCTGCCGCCTGCTTCCCACCTTTTGCTGCTTCCTCTATTTTCACGATTACAGAAGTTGTTACAAAGCCCCCTTTGTGTTGTTCAGGTTATCGCTTTCTCAAACAGTGGAATTTATTTTCTAATTTTAAGTAAAAATAAATAATTTAATTAGAGCACGGTCGAGCTCGCCGGCGCCCCCATTACTGTGCCGTCCGGAGTCATAGCCTTCTCTGCGCCCCCCCTCGCTACATCACTGGTGCTGGTCAACACCAAAGTCGGTGGCTTTGAGGATAAGCAGCTTGATTTTAAGGGTAACGAGAGCACATATAACCAAACTAACGGCATATATACCTAACCTAACTAACATACATAACTCACGTAAATACCAACTGGCCACCTTGGATTCAATCGACAAGCGTGTCAAGAGGCTTATAGGTGACTCGAAATTAGTAGAGGCGAAGCTGCAGAGCCTTGAACACCGCCGTAAAGTTGCCTGCTTATCGGTATTCTACAGGATATATCATGGAGAGTGTGCGATGGAATTGCATAATTTGATTCCGCCTTCCCCTCTCCATCATCGGGGGACTAGATGTGGGCTGGGATTCCACCCCTATGTTGTGAATATTCCTAATTCGCACGAAGCTTTTTGCTTCCACATTTATATGGCGAGCGGGTACAGAGTGGAATTCCCTACCTGCGGACTTGTTCCCCGAACGCTATAACTTGGATCTTTTCAAGGCGAGAGTGAATAGACATTGTTTAGGTGTGCATGCTGCATCGTCGACCACATCATCACTTTCCATCAGGTGATATGGAGGGCAAATGCGCACTATTTTTTTTTTAAAAACGTCGAATTTTTACTCGCTATGTTTCGAACCAGTCCTTGGTCCTTTATTCATGAGATTCCGCGGCTGTGATTTGACGAAAACTCGATCGATAATTTGAATAAATACAGAGTTATTCGTTAAGTTAGTTAATATGTTAAGACTTTATTAGCTAGGGTATTACATTATTTTGCTCTACTAATATTTTATGGGACTTAAACTTAGTTGAGGTAATGATTGATTAACTTCTTGATATCGTAATTTTTCTTCGCAAAATAGTGAATATAAAAAAGCTGAGAAGCGGGGCGTAAAAAGTACTAGATCTCCACTCACCACAACACGATCGAGCGAGCTCCCTAGCTTAAAGGGAAATAAGTGAAAATAATCGCTTACCTTTATATTATATTATGTTATTTAAACTAGAGCGAAACTAAAACATCTTTTGTAAATACCCTCTTAATTCTAATTTTATCGCGTAAAAATGGCCAAATTAAGGCTATTATGCTAAGTACGTGTGTATAAAACAATAATGGCACATATCCTTGATCCCGTTTACAATAATTTGCTTGCCAGATGTTCAGGTCTGTAGCACCGTGGCACCCATGCAACAATGTAGTCTTGTTCATGTTAATTCAAATTCAAGTTTGAGTTTTTCTTTGCTAAGTCTTTTAGTATGGAATGACATCAAAATACTGAAATAGACCACAGAGAAAA